GCCCAGGCAAGACTCCCAGGCAGGATGGGGAAGCTGGATTTGATCCTAAGAGCACTCTATTAGCAGGAGAGGGAGTACATCCAGCCATATCTAGAGTATGGGTCTCCTTTCTGGGAAAGGAAGGAAGAAAATGGTGAGGCTGCAGGAAGAGCCACAGCCCCCCGCCAGGGGGATGGGGCTGGATGGGATGGTGTTGGGAGTGGTTTCAGCCTCCCTCCCTTGGCTTCCTTCTGATATTGAGGTGGTTTAGGAGGAGGGTTTGGGCCACATGAGGGTTGGGCTGTTAATATGATGCAACACCAACTCCAGAAGTGCCTGGAGGTGGTCTGAATGGGGAAGGAGGCTGGTAGAGCTCATATGAGCCAGAACTGGGTGGTCAGTCCTGTGGTTAGAGCCACTGTGACAGCCAGCAGAAGTTCTGTGCCCTTTGTGCCAGCCCAGCCATCTGACCTGGGCTCAAAGTGGGGTGCTCCTCTGTTCTAGGCACCAGCATCTCTGCTTCCCAAGGACCCACCCATGCTCCCCTCTTATGTAACTCTGGGTGCAGGCGACATGCCTGTTGATCCCTTACTCTCTGGTAATGAGCTCTCCAGCTTGGGACCTTCTTCCCTCCCCTGGGAAGAAGGGTAGGGAACTCCTGGGAAAGCACCCCATCCGTGCCCCAGATCAAGCACCAAAGTGGGGTCCCTGAGGCCACCAGGTCAAGCTGACCTGATCCAGCCTCGAAGCTCAATAGCCGCCTGAGGCTGAGGAATGGAGGCCAGCCCTCAGCCTTTGCCATGCATGGAGGCACAGCGCTGACTATAGACTAGAGCCTCTAAAGGGCTCTAGGGTCAACAGTGACCTTCCAAAGTCCTCTCGCAGCCCCCGAGTTATCCCATACTCTTTAAAGGAGCCTGTCCGAAGTCTGAGTGTTGCAAGTTCCAGAGCTGCTGCCCATGGACTACAGATCTCAGGGTCTCAGACTACCACAACTCGACTCCATGACCTTGAGGATGACTGCTTTCGTTTGTCAGGGGAAAAGGGAAGAGGAGGAGGGAGCAAGCAGAGAGACATTGCTGCAACTACTGTACCTGCAGGAGGACAGACCACTCCCAGTGGGAGTGGGCAGTCCTAGCTGGGGACAGGGTTGGAGGAACAAAGCCTCTACAAACCCTTTCCTGGGATGGACTGCAGACCTCCACATCCAGGGTCCTTCTGGAACTCTAATTGGGAGCTGGTACACACTGACTCACAGGGGAGGGGCCCCCGCAAGTGAGGTAGGAACTCCCCAAGGGCACAGGGAGGATAACAGTGAGAGTCACAAGCCCAACCTAAGAGCTGGATTGCCTGTGGGAAACTGGTGATCATGAGAGATTCTGGATGTAATCAACATCCTGGGGCTTTCCCTGTGAGACTAAGGCAAATGCCACTTTGTGCAGCAGTGCTGAATTCATCCTGTCTCTCTCTGGCTGTCAACAAGTTCTGATGCACTGGTTCTTCCTGAACCACCCCACCTAACATAGCCTCCCTGCCCTGCTGTACTTGTTTCTTAAGCCCTGTCCACACCTGATGTCTCAGAATGCATTTTGCTGTCTTCACTGAATGGTGCCCTGAAAATGTGAGCTCTGGAAGGGTAAGAATGTGCCTCGTTCAAAGCTGCATTCCTGCATGGTAACTGGCACAGGACTGGTGCTCTTCAATCATATTTAGGGGATGGATGGATGGACAGATGAGTAGATTGATGGGTGAGTGGAGGATGAACGGATGATGGAGGGATGATGGATATGTGGTTGGATGGATGGATGGATGGATGGATGGATGGATCCACAGATGCATGGATGGAAGGATGCCTAGATGGATGGACGGATGGATGGATGCATGGGTGAAGGGATGAATGCATAGATGTATGCATAGATGACAAATGGTTGGATGATGGGGAAAATGTGCAGCTGGACAATGGATGCTCATGGCCAGGGCTTCAGAAAATGCCCTAAATGTGGTCAGGGCCATGCCAGACCCTGGGGAGCAGGTAAGCAAGACCCATGTCTAGGCCTGTGGCTCCATAAAGGTGACTCTTAAGCCTGGAGAACAGAGTATGGAGGAAGAGCCACAGGCCCAATGTCCAGGCCCAACTATGGTTTCTCTTGCTGAGTGTCACTGGGCAAGGCCCTGCCCCTCTCTGTGTCATCCTACAGATGACACAGGCCTACCTGTGTGTGTAGGTGTGTGATTGAGAAGGACAGAGTGGGCCTGGGGAAAATGCTGCCTCACTCCATTGCCTGACTCACAGAGTATTCACTTGCCTTGTTGGAAATGAGACAATGGGAGTGTGACATGGGACCTGGAAGTCAGGCCCTGATGCTTTTGTCTGGATGCCCCTCCTTGTTCCACCAGCTAATGGCCACTTCCCCTCAGGTCTCAGCCTGGATGGCTCCATCCAGGCCAATACTCCTACACACCCCCTTCCACACACACACAACTGTCACACTCGTTCGGTGTGCTCCACAGAGCTACAGGTTGTCTATGGCCCTCTCCTTGGCTAATCTGGGGCCCTGAGAGCTGAACCCGTGTCTCTCCTCTACTGCTCTCCATTATTCCTGTGGTGTCTGGTGTATGCTGGGTCCTAACACAATGCTACAGACCGTTAATGAAGTGTTTTGAGGTTCAGGGAAGCACTTGGGGGCCCTGGGGTATGGCTTAGAGGTTTGCAGCCCTGGGACCTGATCTGTCCACCTGGTGCCCACCTCAGGGGAGGACCCAGGGCTGCCCTGGTGTATCATGCTGTGCCACCCTGAACTGAGTGCTTCCCTCTTTGGTCCACCTCACCCTTGTGGGCTCAGTGGCACACACAAGGGGAGATAGCATGAGGGATAGGGGGAAGAGCACCAACAGGGAAATCTCTGCTCCAGACAGAAGTCACAGCTTGTCCCTCAACTTCCTGGCCAGCCAGCTGAGTTCAGGGAGCAGGCAGGGCTGAGGGAGTGGAGTGGTATTCCTGCTCTATGCCCCTCTACCACATCACCTGGGCATCAGTCCTACTGTCAGCATCTTAAGGTTACAAGTCAGGTCTAGGGTTCCAGCCCCAAGGGCTGGAAAAGGGGGCTGGGAGGGCCCAGGCTCTGAAGGAGTCATCCTTCTCCATGGGAGGAGGGGGCAGAAGGCAGACGTACGGGATGTGTCAGCTCCTCTGCCCATGGCCTCAAACCTACATCCTACTCTTAGTCTGCCCAGCATCTCTAGACCCACCAGCTCCACCAAGCCCAGAAACTCCAAACCTGTTTCTCCGCTAGCTTCCTCCAACAGCTGCAGTGAGTCATCCACCCCCGCCCCACCACCTGCCCACATTACCGCTCTGTGATCTGGCCCTGAGTTCTCTTCCTAAGGCCTCCAAATCACCCTCTGGTGCGCACAGAGAGGCTCTGGAGCTCGGTGGGAAGTCCTAGGGACATTCTGCATTATGGGACTGCCCTGTGACACTCCAGCTGCCCTAAGCAAGCCCTGGGGAAGTAGGGACCAGCCAGCAGGCCGGGGCCCTAACCAGGCAGGGATGGAGAAGTGGGGCTGCCTTGTGGGGAGGGGGAGCAGCTCCTACCTGCACCCTTCCTGGTCCTCTGTTTTTGAGCAGAGCCTGCTGAGTTCAAAACTGCTTCAGGAGAGCTTACATGGGCATTCTTGGGCATCATTTCCCCTGATTCCAGCAAGTAGCCATAGCTTTCTGTTGGTGCATCTTCATCAGCTACAGAGGTACACAATTGTGGAGGCTGGCACAGGCCTAGGACTGATCTCTATCTGTGTCTAACCAGCTTGGCAGATTTCCCCCCTCCCTACGCCAGGGGCAGGATGAGATTTTCAGCAGGGTCCACCCATACCACCCGTCTGGACAGACAGGGAACCTGCAGAGAGGGGCAGCCCTGTTCCAGCTAAATCTAGAGTCACAAGGGAAAGTTCTTCCTATGGGTGCGAAGAGTGTGAAGTTGGGCTCTGCCTGCCTCAACAGGAACCAGACCCAGCACTGCCCTGGGCCCTGAGTTCTACGGATCCAGCCCTGAGAGTTCTCAGCTTTCAGCTTTCTGGTCCTGGGGACCAGAGCAGAGAAGCAGAGCAATCGTGACAAAGCAGGATGGTGATGTTAGGGCTCCGCTTTCCCAGGAGGGCAGGCTGGAGCAGAGCCCTCAATGGGGAAGAGTTTGGGAGCCTGAAGGGAGGGAGGAAGGGTTCGAGAGGACTCATGTCTCCTCTACAATTGTCCTTGCCTCCGCAGCCTGATGGGACTCCCCATCAGTCCCGCCCTGCCCATAGCTCCCCAGGCATCTGGGATGGCCAGGCCCCATGGCCTGGGGTCTTCACATCCCCCACCTGGCCATACCCAGTGTGGGTCCCAGCTCCTCCTGTTCTCCACTGCCCCATCAGCCTCTCCTCTGCCTCCCACAGCTCATCAGCCCACAGCTGTCCCCATGTCCTCATGCTTCAGGAAGCACAGTTTGCTTCCCTGGGGTTCCTTGTTCCAGGGCTCCACTGGGTTGGTCCATCTTCAGGGCACCCAGCCTAGGCTGTGACTGGAAGGAACACTCCCACGGTGGGAGCACAAGACAAAGACGCAAGGAGAGTGACAGACAGGGGTGGAGTCAGAGATAGCGAGACCTAGGAGTAGGCAAACAGATGGCAAGAGAACTGAAACCCAGGGCGGCAGAGATGAAGATGGAGTGATGGAGAGTCTGCAGCAGTGAGCTGCAGAGACAGGGACAGGGCAAACTTGGTGGTCTCTGTCCACAGCGAGCCCTGCACAGCCTGAGGGGCAAGGGCAGACACTGCCCTTGGAGGCAGCCAGGAGCCGTGTACCCTCCAGCTGGCAGGAGCCAGGCATGTACTGGACTGGTGGGTGTGGACTAGGCAGGGTGGGGAAGGCTCTGTGGCATGCCACTGCCTGGCTGGCTGCCCAACCCTGCCCCTCCCACAGCTCTGTCCCGACTATAAGGCCTGGGAGAGAAGGGGGCCCCCACTGCTCTCAGAAAATGAGGATGAAGGCAACACTGCTGCTCTTTGCAGTCTTGGCTGTAGCCATGGGCCCAGGTGAGAGGTTGGGTTTGGGGGAATTGGGTGGGGGTGGGCAGTTATGTACTGGACCCCCAGCCTCAGCCAGGCACGGCCAGTCAGGCAGTCACCAAAGGCTAGAAGCCTGGAGTTCATGCCCAAATAACACTGATGTGGAATGCTGGACTCCTGGAATTTAAAACAAAATGAATCTGTATCTTAACTCAGCAGACCTACAGTATTTGGGAATCAGAGAATTAGAATCAACTCATAGAATCACAGACACGGCAGTTATCTTAAGACGCCTCCCCTGGGGAAAAGCAGACATCTACCCAGATCATTCTGCCTCTGCCCCAGCCCCTCGTCCTGCAGGAGCAGGCAGTGTGCAGACAGCCAGGACCCCTGGCTCAGCCTCAGGTCCTCGGGACCACTGGGGCAGGGGCAGTTTTGTTCTGGGCTCTGCGCTTAGCAGAGTTGCAGAGCTCTCTGAGGTCCTGGGAGAATGGACTGTACCAGGCTGCACTCCCTGTGCCTTCTCACCTCTCCCCGCAAGGTGCCTCCTCAGGACCTGAGGGGCCATACAGAGATCTCCCGAGCTGGGCCTCTGTAGGGTCCTAGGGTTGAGGGTAGGGTGTTTGCTTAGGAAGGGGCGGCAGAGGGTCCTGGTGGGGTCTTTGTGGGCAGTTGACCCAGGTCTGAGACACCTAATCCCTCACTCACCAGCCCAGGCACTCCGCTGTCATGTGTGCAACAATTCTGCCAACTGCAATAATCCCAAGGACTGCCCAGCCAGCTCCCGCTTTTGCAGGACCATAAACACAGGTGAGTGGCAGTCCAGGTGCCTCAGGTGGGAAGACCCGAGTGGCTATGGTACCACACAGGTGGAAGGTGCTGGGGAGATAGAAGGAGCGAGGATGTGTGGTGGGACAGACCTGACACTTGTCACCCCTCCCGTGTGCAGTGGAGCCTCTGTCGGGGAACCTGGTGAAGAAGGACTGCGTAGACTGGTGCACACCTAGTTCTATCCAGCCAGGCCAGGTCAGCAGTGGCGCTGGTTCCACCCAGTGCTGCCAGAGTGACCTGTGCAATGGGAGGCTGTCCAGTGCTGCACCCACCCGCGCCCTACTCAGCAGTGCCACCCTGGGCCTGGTGGTGGCTCTGGGCCTCCTGGCTCCCATCTTGGTCCCTCACCTGTGACCGGAAAGGACCATTGCCTGTTCCCCTCCTGTTTCTGGGCTTCCCATGGTCCCCTCCCTGGCCATGATGGGGGTGCCAGATGACAAGATTAGGAGCTCCCCTGGAAGGCTAGGGCTGGGTCCTGATGGGGACAGAGAGCTGATGACTGATGACGTAGAGCTGTGCCTGCCCCAGGGCTAGAGGAAGCTGTCTGCCGTACAGCATGGAAGATGGAGAACAGACATCACTCTCATTCCCTCTGATTTTGTACTCATTCATTTCGTTTTCTACTTGAACCTCTGCATGGAAATAAATGATTTTAAACCAATATGGTTGTGGAGTGGAGGGGTGGGGCAGACATCATCCAAACCTCCAAGCCTTAGCAGCATATGGTGGCACCTGGTGTCTGAAAGACACCCTCATCCTAGGAGAGACTGTGCACTCCCTCAGTCCCCACCCTGGGAGAGGGAGGAGCCCCGCCCAGTACCTCCTACAGCCCCCAAGCTGGGGTGATGTCTGAGTGGATCAGGGCAGATAGGGCATCCTGTCCAGGCCATGTTCCGAAGAGTTTGGTCCAGGAGGCTACAGAGAGGCCCCCATCTCCTGCCTTGGAGCTACATGGGCACTGACTGCCTGTGGCCATAGTCCAAGGCAAGCCCAGCTGCCTGCGATGACTGCATAGGGGAGGGGTGTTCTTGATTCAGCACAGGGGCGGCGGGAGAGAAGCCCAGAGGCAGGGAGGGACCAAAACTGAACATAGTGTCTGAGGCTGGGTGTTCCTGTCCTGGATTCCTGCCTGCCGTGTGAGTTCTCCACCACTGCCTGGGTTTATGCAGTTTTCCAAATATGAAGCTGTGAGGTAGAGTGAGAAACGAGGTGCCCAGCAGATGCTCAAAAAAAGCAGTACTCCCGCTCCTGGGGAGCAGGCTGTCCCATTCAACAGCAGCCATTACCCTCCCAGGCCTCTTAGGTTAGCACAGGGCTCTGACTCCTCATTGGGCCTGCCTGGCAAATCCTGTCTCCAGCAGATGGTGGAGGTGGTGGCAGTGGTGGGGGGGTCCTGCCTGGGCTTACCGCTTCCTTCCCATGCACCTACACCCTGAGATAAGCCTCCTCAGCATCCCAGCTCCAGCCGAGGATGCTGGACTATCACAGGTAGAGTGTGATCAGGGAAATTGTCACTCTCACCCACACGGTCATCTTGCTTCCCCCAGTACCCTGGGGCACCGTGGAACCCCAACACTCAGGCATAAGCACTACAGCCCAGGGCTTTGTCTGGGGTGAGCTCTGCTGTGAGCCCTACTTCTCTTTACCCCCACCCACCTTCGGGTCTGGTGCTGGCTACTCCTGGTCTTTTGAGCAAGATGTTGGTTATCTTTTAAGCAAAAATTGTAGAGCCTCAGTTTCCTACACCTTCTCTTAGTACAATGCCCACATTACTGGTGCCTGTAATTGGGGGTTCTGGCCTGTTACAGAACCCTTAACCTATCCCTGGGACACTACAAAGCATTTCCCTGGAGGGGACCCAGGGCCCCACCCAGCACCAGAACTGTGGGTCTGGGAGTTCTGGGCCAGTACTGGAGCAGGTGTGCCCCCTGCTGGTCAGTAGGACCAGGCATCTGAAGGCACCTGCCAGGAGGGAATTCTTCCTTGCCCAGGGCAGAGCATAGAAAGATTCCTGGATGTGTGAGTCAGGCAGAGCAGAGGTCCAGGAAAGCCCAGGAGCAAGAAAGTGACTCCTGTGTGTCCTACAACAGGCTGGGCACAGAAATCTGAGTCCAGGAGATGAGGACAGCCACTACAAGGAAATGGAGGAGGTTCTGTGCCCTCCCAGAGGCAGGGAAGGAAGAATATGCCAGACCTCAGAAGTCAGGAAGCTGGAGGTGTGACCACCAAGCCCCAGAATAGAAAGCAGAACAAGAGTCACCAGATGGGTCAGGGAGGGCTTTGCAATGTGGCAACCAGTTAAGGACAATCAAGGCAGCAGGGTGGGGGTGTGCAAGGTCTGGGAGGAGACAGCTTGACATTCCCGAGAGCTTCGGCTTCCTGTGGGGCACAGCAGCATCTGTGATGGGCAGGCCCCTCCTAACCTAGCTTCCTGGATGCCTTTGTGTCACCCCACTGGGCAGCCCCTCGGTGGTTCTGAGGCAGGTCTAGGTGTTAGGGAAAGTTCAGGACTTTCAGAGCACCTGGCTCCCTCTCCCTGGCCCATTCCCTCTGATCCCACAGAGCTCCATTCTAGTTGCAAATCCTTTGTTAGAGTGGAAATTTCTTCCTGCATGGACTTGGGGTATCTGAGAATTAGCATGTGTGGAACCATGAGTTCACCCAGACCCTTCCCCTGGCCCAGAGGCCATTGGAGATGGGAGTAATGTGGATTTTCTCCCCACCTCCAAGTTAAGGATGATATAAAAATGACCTAAAATAAAAATTTGTCCCCTTTATCCCTGTATATGGTGCTTCCATTCCACCTGGCAGAGACCCCACCTGTAACCCCCTTCCCCCTTTTCTATAATAAAACTGTTATTTCCCTGCCTACATCAGCATGTTCTGCTTGGATACTTCCCCACAGAGCACCAGGACCAAAACCTTCTGATCAGAGACTGCACAAGTCTACCACGGCCTCAGACCTAATCTGATGCCAACCCTAACCAGGACCCACTTGAGGCCACAGAATGAGGAAGATCTGCAAACATGGGGCCCTCTCCAGCTACACCTGACCCTGCGGGTGTGGACAGAGCCTTGGGCCAACAGGCACCACCAGCCTCGCCCCTCCGTCCCAGTGCCCATGTGAAACGGAGCCTAGAGCCCAAAGCCTGCACTGTGATGTCAGAGGAGGCCTCCACCAGCACTCGGGATGGATGCTGACCCCATCAGGAGGTCTGGGGAGAGTCCCTGGCCCACCCAGGACACAGAGACTGTTTTCTCTCTGTCTTAGCAGAAGGGTTCCATGCAGCCAAGCACAGCTGCCAGCCAAATGGCTGCATTTCAGGGAGACTTTGCAAAAACTGCTGGCACTGTCTTCTGAAAGGACCCCAGTCTCTCCCTCAGCCTGAACGTCTGTGGTCCTAACAGCCTGTCAGGCCTGACTTCCCACCAGAAGGAAGGAGTGCAACCTGCACCTCCCTGGCCGCCTAGCCTGGGCACCCTCGTCCTGCAGAGGGCATGAGGGGCATCCACTGTGATTAGCCACTGGGGCAGCTGGGTCCTCTCTCGGGTCCTGCCATGCACAACCAGGGCTAGGATAGGTTGGCATAGCATTTCCTTCCAGACACTGGCAAAACCAGCGTTTGATTTGATCCATCCTCTCTGTTGTTTCACTTTATCCATTTCATGGGGAATTTTGGCTTTGCTCTTATTTTTATTATGCCTCTATTTTGCTTACTTTGGATTTGCTTTGCTCTTTTTCTTCTAGCTTCTGAAACTCTGGTCCTTGTCTGGGGACTTTGCTCTTTCTCTAGGGCAGCAATGGTATAAAGCCTCTCTCCCCGGCTGCTGTCAGCATACCAGTTGGAAGTACTTTTTCATTTCCTGGTTGATGTCTCCTTCAGTTCACAGGTTATTTACAAATGTGTGGTCACCCAGTTTCTGGATGTTTAGCCAGCCTGTTACTGGCTTCTAATTCTGTTGAAGTCCAAGAAAATAAGTCTCACGATTTTGAGCCTTGTAAGTTTATGGAGGTTTTTTTATGGCTCAGAATAGGATCCATCTTGGTGGATGTTCTTGGAAAATCAAGGTGCGTTCTCTTTTTGTGGGGTGGGGTGTCCTAGAAAGAAAGCAGGACACATTGGTGGCACCAGTGTGGGCTTCCATTTCCCTATCCTGGCCTGCTCTGCACTACGGTCATGGCTAAGAATTCCATAGTACACTGTTATTGTGTCTGCTTCAAACATCCGATCATCTCTTAAGGTGATGTGAAAATCAGAAAAATCTCCTGTGTCCCGTTCCCGGCACTCTGCACTCTTGCGTGTAGCTCTACGTTTCTACTGTGGTGTCCCTTCCCTGCTGCCTTTTGACAGGGCTTGTTGCCACTCAGCTAGCCGTGAGGTTTTTTCTGTCTTGGTATATCCAAAATTTCTTTATTTTACCTTCATTTTCAAAGATATTTCATTGGCTATATGATTAGAAAGTCACAGGTATGGTTCTGTTTTTCTGTTTAGGTTTTGGGAGGCATTTATTGTTTGGAGGTATTTTATTTTTTATTTTATATATGTATGTATTGGTGGTGCTGGGGTTTGAACTCGGCCTTGCACTTGATAAGCAGGTACACTACCACTTGAGCCACGCCTCCAGCTATTTGGGGATATTTTGGAGATGGGATGTCTCACGAACTGTTTGGCCTTGAGCAGTGCTCTTCCTGATCTCAGCCTCCCAAGTAGCTAGGATTACAGGGGTGAACCACTGGCGCCTGGCACATTTGGGGGGAATTTGAGATGCTGCTTCACTGTGTTGGCTTACATTGCTCCTGACAAGAAATCTGTGACGGTCCTTACCTTTGACTCTCTGCACATAATGACTGTCAGTCGTTGTTAAACGATTTGATTACAATGGACTTTGGTGAGACTTTGATCACATTTCTAGTGCTTAGATAGATATTCCTTGGGTTTCTGGATCTCCTGGGTTATAGTTTGCATCAAGTGTGGAAATGTTTTGGCCCTCGTTTCACTGGATAGCTTTTTTCTGTTCCCTGCACCTTCTCCTCCCCTCTGGGACTCCAGTGACACATATTCGGTTACTGGAAGTCGTCCTGAAACTCCCTGGTGCTGGCTTCTCTTTTTCAGCCTTCTTTCTGCTGTGATTCCTGTTTAAAATTCCTAAAGTGTCAAGTTCACAATTTCCTTTCTGCATTCTAACTATTGACAGTCCCATCCACTGTAAAGTTTCATCTTGTACTGATTTTCCATCTTGAGAAGTTTGATTTGTGTCTTTTAAAATAATCTCCCACCAGCACCCCCCCCCACCCCACCAAACTGTTCTTGCTTTCCTTTACCTTCTCGAACATAAGGAATGTAATGTCTTTCTCAGTTTCCTTGCCTATTAATGCTTTGTCTGTACCATTCTGGGTCTCTTAATTCTTTTCTCTCCACTACAGTGGGTCAAATAGTCCTGCTCCTTAGTCTGACTAGTGATGTTTGACTGATGTTAGTTATTTCATTGGGTGGATTTTACATTGTTAGGTGCTGGATTTTTTTTCTTCTGAATAATTTTGAGTTTTGTTTCAGGGAACAATTAAGTTACTTGGTAACAGTTGTTTTTGAGGCTTACTTTTAATTGTGTTGGTTGGTGCCAGTGTGATCTTTAGCCTAGGGCTTATTTGACCTGCCACTGAGCCACCGAGCAGTTCCCTGATGAATACACCATCTGAGGTCCAGGATTTATGGACTTTCTCTCCCAGTCACACAGGTGTACTTGCCCAGCTCAGTGCCAGCTCTGGGAATTGTTTGCCTGCTCCCTCCAGGTGGTCCTCTCCTTGCCTTCCTTCCAGTAGATTCCCAAAACTTAGGCACTAATCCAGACTCAGTTGAAGATTCCGGGAGCCCTGTGCTGTTCTCCCTGGCTCCCTTCTCTCCCACACTCTAGCCTTGTGAATTCCAGCACCTTGGCCTCCCTCAGCTTCCCATAATCTCTTACCTTGGGAGACTGCACTGGTCAGAACAACCCATCCCCAAGTGTGAGACCTGGCCTGTTATGGGAGAAAGAGGCAGACAGACCCAGGATTGCAGAATGCCGTGTATTGGGGACTGACATATAGAAGCAAGGTCCTGCATGGCAGCAAGACCAGTAGATTCTGCAATTTGGATCAGCAGGAGGGGCGTATATAATAGGACAGAGGTGACTCATCCATGCTGGAATGCACCTCGTTTGTCTTAAGCTAACATCAAGAATGTGGAGCACATTTCTGATGCTGAGGCAGTGAGTCTGGCGGTGAAGCTCCAGACACACTGTGATGGGTTGGTCTGTTTATGGTTTGCTGGGAAATTATACAAGGAAACCTACCAGGGTCACTCAGGGGCAGTCAAGGCAATTACCACTCATGATGGCTTCAGTCAGCAGAGTCCACACAGTACACTCTATTGGGAGTCCTCTGAGTGCACCTCATCCAGGGATCACTGTTCTTTCGTCTGTCCGGCAATGTCTGAAATCTTATTTTTGCCTACTTTGTCTCATTTTTGGTTTTTCAAGACAAGAAAGCCAATCCAGGTCCCACCAGTTCATCTGCAGCTGATGCTGAAGCCAGGCACATTTAGGGTTCTTCCTGTGTTTATTTTATGACACTCTTCACCTGGCCATGCTGAGTGAGAACTCCATGAGGATGGGGATATTCGAAAAAGTCGGTGGGTTTTTATTTTTTGCTGCATCCCAGCTCCTGCCACATGTGGAGAGGAGTGAACTTTTGACAAAGAGCATGAGGGATTTCCCAGAACAGGAGCAGACCTACCCAGCTGTTCAGTTGTTACAAAAATACTGCATCTCTTTTAAAGAAAAAAAAATGAGCTTTTAGGGTCAAAGGACTATTTTATTTTCTTTCTCACAGTAGAAAAAAATGAAAAATATAGGGCCCTTGAAAATCTATTAAATTGTGCTAAAAACAGAATAAAAATGAAATGAAGTATTAAAGTAAGGACTTACGATGGTGAGAGGGGCCCATGAACCACGGAATGGTTCCAAGGCTTGCTGCGGGCCCCACGTGGAGACCGAGGCACGGGTCAGTGCAGTGAGGTCACGGGGCAGTGAGTTACTGGGCAGGTCCTCGAGGCAGAGTCAGCACTGTCAGGCTGCACATCAGTGGACCTGGGCAGAGGGATGGGGTCGAGGCGGCTGGGAAATAAGATCCAGGGTGGGCGGACTTCGAGGGGACCTGGAGAAGAGTGTCTGGGCAGTGCCTTTGCGCGTGAGGGTCACGAGAGTGTCACTGAGAGGCTGTGCTTGTGTTGGCGCGTCCTGACGCGTGGGTGAGTGTCAGGGTCCCCGCGCGTGACCCATGAGTCCACCAGGGCCCCGCCACCCAACTCACCGCAGAAGCCAAAGCCGATCTGCGCAGCCTGGGACAGACGCCCAGGGAGCCCGGCGCTCAGTGAGCTCGCGGGGACGGGGCGGGGCCTGCGGTGAGCTCACTACGGGAGGGGCGGCTCGGGGGCGGGGCGAGGTGGAGGCGGGGCGGCTCGGGGGCGGGGCGAGGTGGAGGCGGGGCGGCTCGGGGGCGGGGCGAGGTGGAGGCGGGGCGGCTCGGGGGCGGGGCGAGGGCGGATCCGTGGTGAGCAACCGCGGCCGGGCCCTGGCTGCAGAGCTCACAGTTCGGGCTATGCGGTACGCACGCTGCGGGAAGCGCGGACGGACTCACAGACAGACCGAGGGAGGGACCGGGGAGCGGCCGGTGAGTTCTTGGTGCGGCTGGGCTCGTGGTGGCAAAGGTCACAGACGAGGTCACCACGTACCCCGCCCGCGCCTGGAGCCCTCCCCCAGTCGGGACCGCAGTCTTTCAGGCGGAGCTCTAGGAGAGGGGGCGGGTGGAGATGGAGCCACAGGCCAGGCCTAGCCTGACACAGACGCTCAGCATCCCGGGGCTGGTGCCTGGAAAATGGGTCATGAAGAACGGATTTTTTTCTGGGGAGTCTAATTTTACTACCCCGGGACAGGAACTGGGACGTGTATGGCGGTGAGAAAGGGAGTCGTGGTCCAGATCCACCCCCAACACCCCTACTCAGAGAGTGGGCGTCTCAGTCCCAAACACCAGATCCAGACTGGGGAGTTCTTCCTCCTGTCTTGCCAAGCGCCATCTGGAATGCATCCAAACTGCATTTCCCCAGGAGCTGGACAGGGTTCATCGCCCCCACACACATCCCAACCCCACTCCCCGGGCTCTCACCGCCGTTGCCAGGGCTTTGGAGGCCTTACTGGAAGGGGGACCCACGCAGGAACACCGGAGGAGCAAAAGGGAGAGGGAGCAGCAGAGACTCATGCCTGAGGCCCAGTCCTTTCCTGGCCAGCCCCTGTACCCAAGCCCCTAACGGGAGGGGGCTATGTGCCAGTCTTCCATAGGGCCTTGCACAAAGCACTCCCTAAGTGGAATCCTGGTTTGGGCCTGGCATTCAGGGCCTCTCCTTGATGCTGCCCCACTCTCTCCCTAGCTCTGTCCCCTCACCCCACAGTCTACACTTTTGTGAGCACTGGTCTCTGGTTGGAATGACCTGGTCCCTGCACCTCTTCCCATCTCAAGTGTCCAGGAAACCTTCCTGATAGCTACTGAATAGAGTGGTTTCTCTGCCCACCCTCCTGCCTCTGCCCAGGCCCAGCACTGACCACTTGTCTCTGCCACTCTCTGCAGGGTTGCTATACCTCTAGTAGACCAGAAGCTTGGAGAGGGCAGGGACCTGCCCCACGCCCTCTCTGCCCTGCCTCTGCACCTTTCTGAGTTGGATCCAGAACCAGCTGCTATCCACCTCCTCGCTCCCACACTGCTCTCTTGCCTCCACTCATGGCATCCCTGCTCTCCGTGTTGCTGGTGGCCCTGGTGGGCCTACCTCTGGGTAAGGTGGATTGGAGACCAGAGGGATGCAAAGCCCATATGTGGGGGCAGGCAGGCTACAAGTGGGAAGGCTGGCTAGGATTCCCAGTCACCACCTCTCCTTCCAGCTGGCCGCCTGGGGTGGTGGTGGTGGTGGTGGTGGACAGTCTGGTGGACTGGAGGAGGGTTTTTTCCCTGTTCTGTGACCTCACCTCCCACCTCGGTCCCCAGCCGAGGCTCTGGACTGCCATGTGTGTGCCTACAATGGAGACAACTGCTTCAACCCCATGCGCTGTCCAGCCATGGTCACCTACTGCATGACCACGCGTACTTGTGAGTCTGGTGGTCCCCAGACCTTGCCCAGGGGCACGGAGAGTGCAGGAGGGAGGCTCCCACCCACTCCAGGTCTTTTCTGGGACCCGAATGATCTTGCATGCTGGGGTGGAGTCAGCAGGTCCCTCTCCTCTCAGAGCAGCCTTTTGCCTCCCACCCCTCTGCAGACTACACCCCGTACCGGATGAAAGTGAGCAAGTCATGTGTGCCCAGCTGCTTTGAGACCGTGTATGATGGCTACTCTAAGCATGCATCCACAACCTCCTGCTGCCAGTATGATCTCTGTAATGGGGCTGGCTTTGCCGCCCCGGCAACCCTGGCCCTGGCCCCCTTACTCCTGGCCACCCTCTGGGCCCTACTGTGAAGCCCTTGTCCCCAAGGGAGACCCACTCAAGGACAAAGCTCTCAACATACACAGTTGGACCCTCTCACATTGCACCCCCACCCAACCTTCTGTCCTCCTGAGACCCCCCCTCAGCCACACCCAAGGCCCAGGGGTGTCTGCAAGTGGCCTCCTGGCCTCCAGCCACCCATGGAGCCTCACTTTGCAGCCATGACCTTGCCTTTTTAAGAAGTCACTGTGTGGGACTGGACCTTCCAAAGGTGCCTGGCCTTGGCCTCAAGTCTACACAGAAGGAGATAGGTGTGTTGGATGGGAGGGAAGATTAGAAACTGGCTGGGGGTCAGGCAGGATCCAGCAGGGCTGTCTCTGCCTCCTAATGATTCCAGAACTGCCCAGGGCAAGAGTGGCATCAAGGCCGAGGAGGAAAGCCTTTGTCACTGTCAGCTGTCTGGGAACCCTGCCAGGCCTAGAGTCCTAGCAACCCTTGGCTGGGGCAGGGCATGGCTATGATCCATCAGGCCTGATGCTCCTCCAGCCCTGGAAGCTATTCAAGGTCCACTGAGGAATGTGTGCCCTCTTGCTTAGCTAGACTCTTCCCCATTTTCCCACCCTAGTACTGGGCCCCATGTCCAGCCTGATGCTGGCAGGGACAAAGGACATGGGGTAGATGGGCCATGTAGTGTAGCCTGCACACTGGCCAGGGCCAGGGCTATTCTGGGCATAGCAGAAAAGGAGCAGAGCAAGCAGTGGGGGTGAAGTGGGGTGGAGGCCATAACAGTGGTGTGGGATCTAGCCAGCTGCCCCAGTCCTACAGGTGTCTTCTGCATACTCCCATCATTCTGTCCCTTGGAAACTCCCAGCTGGATGAATATGCAGGGAGCCCAAGTCTATAACTGTCACCTGAGGATCCTGCTGGCCCTTTTAGCCTCTGATGGAGACCCTGGGGAGGGCTTGAGGTCCATTCCAGCTGAAGCACCCCACTGGGCATCAGGACTCCTAAGAACCCCACTCCAGCTGAGATTTGGGAGGCACAAGTCTGCCCAGCCCCCACTGTGCCAATGTGGGTGGTCCAGGGAGTGCTAGCCTCATTTCAGAGAGGCCAGACGGGTCTCGATCCTCTTCACTGACGAGTGCTCCAGCCCAAGTATCCACCTAGGAGACTCCTCAAGTTGTGCAGCCCAGGAGGGCAGTCTATGTAGTGGAATTGTTCATGGTGCTTGTGGGGGAGCTCTGCTAGACACTGTGTGCTGAGTGTGGCTAGGACCACCCACTCAGGAGCTCAGAAGATGGGGCTCTCCATTAGGGAACCCCCCTTCCTGCCTGTGCAGGCCTGGTTCTGCTCCTGAACAGTGGATTTCCACCTCAGTTTTTTCCTCTAGAGGACCTGCTACTGGGGGTGTCCTGCCAAGGGCATACCCAGTTCCTCAGGAGGAAGCACAGTGTGACTCTTGACATAAGTGGGCAGGGGTGCCGGGGGTGAGGGGACATGGACTTCCCAAGCCAGTTGGTGGGAGGGAGGGAGGATCTGGACACATGCATGCGTGCGTGCGCGCACACACACACACACACACACAGTGGCTGCCCGTCCAGGGCAGAGCCCAGAAAGCAGCCCTAGCCGTTGTCCCCTAAGGTCCAGTCAGGTGTGAGCCTCTCTCTGTGAAGGCCAGGTGCTACTTCTATGCTCCCACAGGAACCCCCGCCAGCAAACAGCCAGCCTCAGGACAGTGACCCATGCAGGCCTCAGTGTACTGGCTGGGAAGGGCCAGATGTGGACCTGACTCGGGGAGGGGTGGGAAGCTGCCATTGCCAGCTTGTGTAAGGTCATTGTCCCCAGTCTGGTGGGATCCTGGGCCAGAGCTGGGAGGGGCCCCGAGGTCGGGTCCTCCTTCACCTCAGAAGGATGATGGGAAAGAGCTTGGTCACTTGTGGGACCAAGTGGTCACTTGTGGGCTCCAGAGTGGTGGCTGGGAGTGCTACAGTGTTGGGGGCAGCTTCTCTCATCTGTCTCCTACATCTGTGTGCCCATGTCTTCCTAACCTGGCCCCATCCAAGCCCCACAGTGACCCCAGGACCAGGCTCCCCACTCCACTCCTACAGACAGGGTCCTGCTGGGTTGGCCCGTCCTTGGTCCCTACCACAGAGCACACAGTGCAGGACCAAGCCTTCCGCGGGAGGAACAGATTAGGGGAATCAGGACAGCAGTGCCTGCTGACCTGTCTTCATCCCATCCAGGGTGGTGTAATGAAAGTCTGTCCAGTTCTGCTGCAAGTGACTCAGCTTTCCACAGCAGCCCTGCCAGGTGTGGACTTTTATTATGCTCAGTGAGAGAACTGAGGCACAGGGAGGTGAGGCAGTTAGTGGCCCCTAAGCCAGCTGGCCTCCTCACCTGCCCACCACTAACCCCACACTACAATTCAGCTCTCCTTCCACCAGCTGGGTTCTTTGGGGCTGTGGGCCTGTAGGGTGATGGTGCATTTATTAACTCCAGTTAATCTTGGCATGTTCAGTTGAAATGAGAGCTCAGGATCCAGAAAGCTTAGAAAGAAAAGTCATAACCACAGTTTGAGAAGCCAAGGGCTTGAGTTAGGAGTCAGGATGCCCCGCCCTGTGTCTGAATGGGGAGAGGGGACATTGGGTGAGGTGGCAGAAAAAACAGAGGAGCACCAGGTATCACGGGGCTTACCTCCGCCTGTTTGCTGCGGGCAAGGCAGCGGGAATTCCCGTGCTGGGCGCTCAAGAATTGGCTACAGCTCACTCTGGAGCCGCAATCTTCAAGCAGCCTGGGGATCTCTGCGGAGGGACTGTCGATGGTGCTGTGGTGACTTGGTACGTCACATATCTGCATGGGATGTGATGAAGCCACTAAGAAGCTGGAGCCTAGGCATTGAGCTGGAGATACAGCCGGGTCAACACACCGAGGAGCCACGTGCCTCTGAGAGGTGTGAGGTCAGAGCTGCACAGGGCATACCCCCGCCCCTGTGGCCTGTAACTGGCTTCCCCAGAAAGTGGACGTGGAGAAGGAGAGGCAGAGCGGCTGCTGCTGCTTCTCTTTTTGCAATATCTGATTTGTTGCAGTGAACATGTGTTTTCATTACAATTCTAAAACTAGAAAAACTCAGAGAAGCTGGGCAGCCCCTTCCTTCTGCACTCTGTCCCTTCCTGAGTGTGCGTCGTGGAGTCCTGCTGTTCTGCCTGCCCTGGGCTGCTTGGGCACGGCTCCAAGCCCTGGCCATCTCCCTGGAGAAAGGAGAGTGACAGTGCCCATTCATCCGCCCATGGGTGCCAGGGCCTGGACACAACATGCCCCAGCCAGGTGCACGGAGCCCTTTGTGTCCTGTCTAACGTCCTGGAGTTTAGATGCTTCCCTGAGCCATGTCCCTGCTACTAAGCCTCCCCCCTCAGCTGGGACATGGAATTCTACCTTCAGTTCACCCCACTCCCAGCACTGTGTACCCAGCACCTAGGAGAGGTCCCATCGGTGCCCCTCATAGAATGAACAAATAAACGATGGATGCACGTAGCTGAACTTCTCTCCTGCCCTTCACTGCTTGAGCTCAGGCCTCACCCACCCAGTCTGCTTTGCAGGTCATCCTGGTCCTGTGCATCCTGAATGCAGCTCATCCAGTCCTTCTTCCATCTCCTTCAGGCCTGATCTGACCTCAGAGCCAACCCAGGCATGGCGGGGAGTGGGGGGGAACGGTGTCCAAGCAGGAATTCTGGACTCACTGGGCATCACCTCCATTCCATGGGAGAGAGACAGACCTACCAGTTTTCACTGAGGGGCAGAAGCACCCTGGGGAATGCCGAGGTGCTGCTGACTGAGGGAGGAAGGACCCAAGCACCTTGCCGGCTTTCTAGCTCTTCCTATGGCTTCCTGTTCTGGACCCCATTTGCTTGTCTGAATCTCAGGGTCACCTTCCCTTTGGGCCTCCTCTTCCCCAGGCTTAGAGAGCCCACCAGACAGAGAAATGGACCAAAACCACCAGGGGAGCCAGAGCAGACACGTGGGGGTCCATGGTTCTGTCACTTCTTCCTGGATGGCCCCAGTCCCAGGATCCCAGGTTTTTGGCAGAATGACCCCCGCCCTGCAGGGTGACCCTTCTGGCTCTAACCCCATCTTGGGACCCTCTTTAACACCAGGGGTTTGCTACCTCTCCTCCTGCCACTGAGCAACACCACAGGTCCAGGCACTTCCATCTGATGCCAGCCCAATCCCTGGTCCTCATGACCAAGTGCACATCCATGCTTTCTCGCCTCCAGCCCCTGGGAGAGGCAAAACAGGACTGATGGCCCACTTGGAAGGTGAGAAGCTCTGGCCTCTTCTGAGGAGGTGTGGTCCCTCTAGGGTGGGGTGCCAAGGTAGGGTCCTGGTTCCCAGCCTTAAGCTCCATCTGCATTGACTGGGTGAGGGGCTGCACCAGACCCACAGCCCAGCCATCACAAAGTGAGGCCATCCTGTGTGTGTGCATCCACCCTGTGCCAGGCCTCTCACAGGGGCCTGGGGCCTGACAACACAGACATCCCCACATCACAGATCAGGGAAGAAGGCTCATGGATTAAACCACGCTCGCCCAGAGGCACACAGCAGCAAGTACTGGGGCCAGGTGGGTTGCCAGCACCACCCAGGCCCAGCCCAGCTCTTGGCTGGGCCACACGGCTGGTGACTCAGCTGGGAGCCAGCAGCAGAGAGGAGAGGGCGGAGTAGGAGCAGCCCAGGTATAAGGGGGTAACCAGGGCACCAGCCTCCTTCTCACCCCAAGAACATGAGGCTTCTTTTCGGGCTCCTGCTGGCCACGGTCTTGAACCTGGAACTGGGTGAGTCCAGGGATTGGGCCACCTTCCCCATTGCTCTCATCCATCCTTGTCCCAGCTTGAGATACTGCTGTCCCCTTAGGAGAGTCCCTTTTCCATCTCCTCCCCCCCTCCCAGGCATCAGCCCCTCCCCATCTACCAGCCTGTGTCCTCTGCTCATGATGAGCAGAGCCTTCCTAAAACTGCCTCCCTGGACCCTGCAGTCCCCTGCCCCAGCTTGAAACCCTTCTCCCACCCTTGGCGCCTCCATTTCCACAGTGACCCCCTTCACACACACACAAGCATGCGCTCTCACCTGCTCACACACAGCTCCTGTGAATGCGTCCAGC